TTCATCTTATTAGCAAGGAAAAGTCTGCCATCTTCTGGTAGAGACTAAAACACGTTATATATAGATATGCATGTCATTCATTGCATTAATGAAAAACAAAATGCAGTGGCATTCAGACATTTTTAAGTGTGCCAAATGTCCAGATACATCTTGGGTTAATATTTCTGACCAACAACAACAACATTCTTGTCTGAGGTGTCTTTAGCACCTTTCAGATCTCATCAGGTCTCTTTTGTGCACAAAGCCCTTTTAAATCTTGAATTCAAGGCTCAGGGTCTCACATCTTGTGTATGGACAAATCAATGTCATTTATTTTAATTTATAACAACCCAAACAGATGCAATCAGTCTAGTCTGTTCAGCGATATCAGAGCTGAATGGTGCATTAGCACAACCCTGTGCATGAGCTTTGAATATACCCTAATTTGTTGAAAACTGAGCTGCTTAAGAAAATAACATGATTCACGCTGGAAACTTTTCAATGCATGAAGCAAAGTACTGCAAAACCTTTTATCAAATTAACTTGACACAAACTTGCTCCATGTCATCTCATGTGGAAAAAACACACTCAGAAATAATATATTTAAAGGTGGCATATGATGAAAATCTGACTTTTCCAGGTTTTAAGTGCTATAATCAGGTCCCTGGTGCATCTACCAACCAAGGAATTATTTATTTACTGTATATTGCTACACAGATCTAAAATAAACATGCGATTTATTTCTCAGCTGCTTACCTTCACAGACATAACCGACTGTTTTTGTAACTCGTGTGTTTTTAACGTAAACTTGTGTGTGAATGAGAACTTAGTTTAGTACTCGCATGCTGTGACAGCCGCTTTCTGTGCGTGTGCTTCGGATGTGTGCGCTCAGAAAACCGCATAACAGAAGTTTAAACTCATATGGTTTAAAAAGCATGATTTCAGCGCGATAAACATGATAATCAGAACCAAATCAGATGTTTTTAGCAGGTCTCGAGCTGCAATGGCGCAGCTCTATTCTGGAAAAGGGGGCGGGAGCAGCAGAGACTTATATTACATATTGTGAAAAGGGGCATAATATGACACCTTTAACAGAAAATAATCTTTAAAAAAAATACTCTTCCTGTAGTTGTTCTAAACCTGTTAAGACATAAACACTACAGTCATCAAGTAGAACATCAAGTTTACTGGTATTTTCAAATCACAGTCACTTCTACAGTGTTTATTCAAAATCAGAATTGCAGTTTTTATATATTTTTATTAATTATAATATTTATAAATAGTTTATATATAATTTATTTTATTTTAATTTAATGCAATTATAATAAATTTTAAATAAACTTAAATTATATATATATATTTTTTTTTTTTTATTAATATGAATCCAAGGATCCGTGAGGACAAAAGTTGTTGAACATTTTATTTACGTGTGCATGCAAACTGTCCAATATATAATGTGCATTTTATAGTCACTGTAGAAATATTTAATCCCAGGAACCTTTAAAATGATTTTGAATAGGTCTGGTGTCTGAGGTGAGTTCAGTTTCAGGTTTGCTATGACAGTCTCTGACAGAAGGGTGAGTTTTAATTGCTCTTGTCCAGATATTCCAGATTAGGGGCATCCAGACGCTGCTCCATGTCCTTGTTCTTGGCGAACTCTTTGAGCATGTCCATCACCTCGCTCTGGTACACATCAGGTGTCGGCTTAGCCTCTGATGGGAGGAAGACATATTTAGAAATGTGTGCAAATTCATATTAGACCCCATTTACTTATTATATACACAGTCCTGGTCTTATTGTGCATGACACAACAATGCACATCATTGCAAAGAAAACATCAATGGACAAAATCCAAGTCAAACACACGATTTAGATTTCATCTGAATGCCCGAGCAGAGCTGTAAACCATTGTTCATCTGTTCTATCTGTTTAGTTTATCCGTTCATTCATACCTGTTGCCCAGTAGTAGATGTCCCAGTCGTTGCTGGGTTCATTGATGAGTCTGTCGTACTGCTTTAGCTGAGGTTCACCCATTGTGTTCAGGTACTGCTTAGCAAAAAGGCTGGTAACAAAAACAGTCAGAGTAATTCTATATTATATAGTAATAAGTAGTATGCTTAATAAAGCAATAAGCCCCAAGAAGCTGTGGTTTACAGTGAATTTATAACAGCTAAGGGGCGTTGTTCGGCACAACGCGAAGCGGCTTATTGCTTTTATAAAACGGTTATTCCATATACGTAGTAAACAGAGCAAATAAAGTGTAATGATATTAATAAAAACAGTATTCTTCCACCAAACAACGTAGTTCCTCAGAAACAGTTGTGGTTGCAACAAAGTGGTTGCCAAGCAACACAAAGTAAACAAAGGTGTATGTTTGTAGAGTCATTTACAACAACTTTGAATGTGGCTCAGCCAATCAGAATCAAGGATCGGAACTATCCGTTTTATAAATTTGGTTTTAAACTTAAAAAAAGGTTAATAATAATGGTAACACTTTACAATAAGGTTCCATTTGTTAACATTAGTTAACTACATTACTTAACATGGACTAACAATGAAAAATACATTTATTAACCTTAATATCAACATTTACTAATAAACTATTTGAATAAAATTTTTTTACTTATTATGATTTAATGGACAAATACATCAAAATACACTAAATGAAAATGAGAAATGTTACAACTACCTAAAATACATTTTTTTAAAGTTTTTTTATGGTTTTAGTTGGAATGGAATGACTATATTTGTAAATAGTCGGCAGTATTCAGTGTATACAACTCACTACAATTCATCCTGAACATAAGTTACTTAGATACACTTAGACAATATTATATGTTGTTGCCAAGACTTTGCCTGCTAGAGTAAGTTTTGCGGTCTGGCATTTATCTAAGACGTCTTCTTGACCTGCTGACCTCAGAAGGATGCAGTTCTCCAGCATGCCTCTCTTGCGGCTCTCGTACAGTAGTCTCTTTCTCTTGATGTCCAGGGATTCTCCTGTCCTCTCCTGCCACGGAGGCAGTGGGATCTCAATGATGGTCGGTTCTGGGGCATCACCGCGGTATCCCCGAGAAATCACTGTGCTGACAGCTGGACGCAGTGATGTCCGGCAAACAGAAAGAACAACCTGAGAAAATATAGTTTTGGTTAACTATAATAACCCTGGTTTGTTTAAAAAAAAAAAAAAAACATACAAAACAGTAGGTCTCAGGCGGTGAAGAATCTGTAACATTACATGTTCATTAACAAGTAAACATACCTGCTCAGGACAGTGCCTTCTGAACAAAAAAATCTATGTAAACTACTAGTATTAAAAAAAAAGTGAAACTGGTCTTATGTGTGAATTCAGAGTAGTTAGTGTTGTTAACGTCCTCATCTGACCTTGCTCTGTCAAAATAAGACAACAGGATAAAAATCCAACAAAACAGTTTTTCCAAGCCCCTGCGTTTATTTGGATGCTATATATTAGTTGTATATTAGATATGAATTAGTGTGTGTGATGATGGGCTGCAAACAGAGGATCTCACGATCTCACTGCAAACACATGAGGTCAAATGAGATCTTTAAAAACCTGTCGCCACATAAGAATGCAAAGCAAACAAACGTACCTTTCGTGCGACGGTTGCTGAAAACATGTTATCTTGCAGTATCTTCAGTGATGTGTGACTGATCAGGTGTTTGGCTGACAATTTTTTTTATTTTGAAGGAGAGTTTATGCAACTGTTTCACAATCAAAGCGCGCGCAGCGGTCGCCATGTTGGTAAGGTCAAGACCATTTTCTTATTTGAATATTATTTGAATGTTGCTTTGAATCGTTCTTTGTTTTCTGTGTCGTGCAGATATTTTAACCTTCGAGTTTGTCCTTGACTACTTGGCTGGCACGTGTTTAATAAAGGTAAACCAATTGTAAGCTACCGTTTGTTTCCTAGGGATTGCATTTCAGTGAGCACTTGTGAAAGCAGATGGAAGTTCACAGCTTTATGTCAATTTTTAAAGGAACAGTGTTACTAATTATAAACAGTAATTTTGTCCCATATTAATTATTTACCGTTTATTATACGCATAATTAATAAGCAAAAACCTATTTAATGTCTGAAAATAAATCAACTTTAATTACATTCCAAAACGTAAGGCTAATATTTTTACTCCTTACAGTTTAATTTTTCTTCAAAATCCAAATTACATATAAGTCAGAAGTCGCTTTATTGCTAAGTATGTTTACACACACAAGGAATTTGTCTTGGCGACAGGAGCTTCCAGTGCAGAAGAAAGTACGGACACACATAGGAATTACACAGTAGAGATGAAATAAAACACTAATATAAGAAAAACAGAAAATTCAATAATGCGAAATAATACATAAGTAGAAATATAGAGAAAACATATATACTTTATATATACTTTGATTTAAGTATTACTCATACTTAAATAGGCTATGAGTACATTTATGTTCAAATACATTTATCAACAATTCTTTAACATCAGTTATTTTGGTATGAAATATACTACTACCATTTTTTTCTGTTACTGTTTTGTTTTAATTAATTTAATTTCAGTTTTAGTTTTTATTTCCAGTTTCATAAAACAAACTTTTTGGCAAGGCAGTATTTCTAATGTTCATTTAATGTTTTTCATCTAATATATATATTTTGTTTTCAGCTTTATTTTGATTAATATTTTTGAGTTTTGGTTAATGATAAACGTTTAATGGCAAACACTTGACAGATGTGTCAATATGAACCAGTTACACAGTAAAGAGCAGCAAAACATTTCTGAGAAAATCCTCTTTTTGTGTTCCAAAGAAATAAATGACAGTACACCAATTTGGAAAATAATGAGGGTGAATAATAACAAATTGCATTTTTTTAGGCTAAGTATTATTTTTATCAGATTTTTTTTTTTTTACTCAAATATCAAAACTGTGGAGTTGATAAAGCAGATACCCATTAGATTTCCTCAATGTTTTGATAACACCAAGTTACCTCTAAGTTATTGTGATATGTAATGAACCCCACAAGAGATACATTTCGATCTTTATGCAAAATGCAAATAAACAACAATACAACATCATAAGTTTACTTCAGATATAGTCTAATGAACCAGCCATGCCCGGGTCGAAGCCCATGCCTGTATGTCTTCCATTAGGATCAAGTCTTTGAAAATATGAGGAGAGGCCGAGTGGGATTTTCATCTTCAGTTGCACAGAAAGCTCCTCATTTCTCCAGCGGTGCATAATTCAACAACTTCTCAATGAGATCCACGTGAGCCAGAAGCATTCGGCGACAGCAGTATCTCTTCAAACCCAGAGCGTCAAGAGCATCACTGTGAAAATGAGCAGAGTGAGATTCAGTTTTAAGCCACTCTTATCATCTGAAGCATGCCGAGAAATCAAACCCAAGTGGAAATTTCATGAACTCACCCTTCTGTATACTCTGCTTGAAGAAGACCTAAATATGCCTCCCATTTGTTCCCAACAATCTTCCCACAAGTGAAGCAGCGAATAGGGATGATCATGGTAAAGGACGAGAGGACTGAATCAAAGAAAAAGCAAGCATTTATTAGAAAACACTCACAGGGTTTCCACAGGTTTTAACGAGACAATTCCAGTTGTACATGACTATCAGATAAGGATTTCTTAGCAATTGCTGGATTTCCATTTGTATGTCAGATATCAAGCTTTTGAATTAAGATAAACAACGTTTTTATTATATCAATTAATTAATATAAGTGTCTCCAATAAGACTTTCAACAGACAATTTTATTCTGTAAATATGACCTATTATAGAGAGAGAGAGACGAAAACGATACAAAACTCAGTAACAGATGTAGATACACATGTATTGTTGCACTTCTTCACAGGAGTAAGTTAGCCTAGAGATTTACAGTAGCTCTACATAAAATGTGTAATAGAGCCGTTCAGCTCGAGAAAACTTCCTTTGAGAATCCATAACTAAACTAAAATGAGAGCAGGTTATTGTTATTATTCAAGATGTCAAAAAAGTGTAAGAAACGCTACCTAAACAGTCTCGCGGGCAAACACGCGTTCCTCTTGAGACGCTTGAAACAAACGCATTACAGATGCGTCATTTCCGCGACGCGTGAGTCAAATGCGCGCGGGCGGAAGCGTGGTTATGAGGAGCGTTCCGCGAGAAAATGCAATAATTAGTGTGAGTTAAAGTCACCAGATCACTGTAAACAACACAGATGAAAATTACGCAGTCCACATAAAATTATATTTGAGCCTTTTAAGCTTCTTTTATCCAGACATGGGGTTTTCAGACGTTTGATGCCAAAAAATTCTAAATAGACATCTTTTCTAACAATGTAATTTAATAGTAATAGTTATCACTTTTTATCAACTTAACACATCCTTGAATAAAAGCCTTCATTTCTTTAAAAAAAATAAATAATAATAATTACTGACCCCAAACTTTTGAACGGTAGTGTACTGTATTGTTACAAAATATATCTATTTTGAATAAACACTGTTCGTTTTAACTTATTATTCATCAAATAATTCTGAAAAAAGTATCACAGGTTCCAAAAAAATATTAAGCAGCAAAACTGTTTCCAATATTGATAATACATCAGCATATTAGAATGATTTCTGAAGGATCTTGTGACACTGAAGACTGCAGTAATGATGCTGAAAATTCAGATTTGATCACAGCAATAAATTACATTTTAAAGCATATTAAAATAGAAACCCATTATTTTAAATTGCAATAATATTTCACAATATTACTGTTTTTTCTGTATTTTTTGTCAAATAAATGCAGCCTTGATGAGCAGAAGAGACTTTTTTTTAAAAACATTACAAATCTTAATGATCCCAAACTTTTGAACAGCAGTGTGTGTGTGTGTGTGTGTGTGTGTGTGTGTGTGTGTATGTGTATGTGTAGCTCCACTGCGCGTCGGGTGGTTCTTCGCCTCCACGTCGTGCATTCAATTCGTTTAATGCACAGCTAGCCATTGATTATCCTTTATACATAATTCTTATATTGTTTTATTTTATTTTTGTTTCGTACTGTTAAAAACCAAGGCTGCCAGTAGAATAAAATAATTTCTTAGTGTTTAAAACTAGGGCTGTCAACAGAATAAAACAATTAATTTAATGAATTTAAAAAGCAGTTGAATGTAATAATGTAAAATTCAGCAAATACTAACTTAAAACATTTGTGTAGGATTGCAGCAGGACTATCAAATCACAGTTATCAAAATCATTCATGTTTGTAAGGCCATTGATGGTTGAATTTTAACCCTTTGATGAAGTATTTTGCATCACCTCTGACCTTTATATGTTTTTGTTGTTGTTTCACCTTTTTGCAGAAAGGAAAGAGCAAAGAAATCTGTCACACGTATGAAAAAAATTGGATTCAAGTACTGAATTCTGTCTAAAAATAACCAGAGGGGAAAAAGCACACCGGGTCTGGGAAAATATGGTTCATTGTCCTTTAATAAGGTCATCAAGTCACAAGGGAGCCATCTTGTTTTAATTCACACGAGGAAGAAAGGCAGCAAGCGAGGTTGTGTGCAAAATAAATACATATGGCAGGAGGAAAGGGGCCACATTTAACAGGTAAACTTCATTAGAACAAACAAATAAAATCATAATCACTCATCATTACCACCACCAAGACAACCACCATGTTGCCACATCCTCATTCACATCATTACCATCAGTATCACAACTAATACACAGTCTTCTTTCTTTTAAATACAGAGTTCTAGTTGAATTATTGCATTATATACGCACTTTAAAGAAAATGTCATTTTCTGTAACAGTATGTCATGTGACGTGTGGGTGTATATTGTTTGTGTCTGCATGCATTTAGGGATTGTTTTGTGTAGCGCTCATAATAATAGTGTAACAGCGAAATTGAAGCTGTTGGCCGAGAGCCGTCATAATCTACGTTGCATCTATGTTGCATCACGCATCTATTTCCATTGGCCCACTTAAGAAAATCGTCAACGTCGTTCAAACAAGAAATGAAGATTTTGAAATGGCACAGATGGTCTACAGTATGCAATTCACAGGCAAGATTATTGAATTACTGAATCACTTGTTTTTGGTCGATGGCAAGTGATGTCAAATACAAAATGAACCCATATGATATTTGAAATAACTGAGATTTTCTTTACATTTCTACACTTTCTCTCAACAATACAGGCCTAACTGTAATAGATGTCAGTGGCTTGATATGTAGCTACATATGGATTTGCACAAGCATTTGATTATGAAACCAATTGCTTTTATTGGTATCAAGACACAAATAGCATTTAATTTCCATAAAAGACAGAAAACTTCTGTATTTTTAAACTTGAATCATGCATCTTAATGTTATTGTATCTTACAGTTGGCAGTTATGGATTTAAGTCCAGCTTGAAAAACTGAAATATTTTTGGATAATTGGTAATATATCAACATTATGGCATGGATGAGGATGTTTTTGAGCATCAGCCAGCAGGTAGAGTGACTTGGATGAAAGTTTTGGTGTAAATGTGCATTGGCTACAACGGCGTTGAATGTTATATGAAAAGTGTTTGGCCTAAATGCCTATCTAGCTTGCTTTAATAGCAGGCAGGAACGTCACCACAAGCACTAAAATTAAAGTAGAGCATAAAATTAAGATGCCTAGTGACTAGGGTGACCACGCGTACTCATTTTCCAAGACGTCACCTGGCTGGGATTTGTAAATTGCCTAAAATGTCATGGTTTTGGATGTGTTTTTACTATTGACGTGTTCTACAGTTCTCACACATTATATTTGCATTGCTTTGACCGTTCTTTGTAGATCCCGCCTTCTCGTGTGCCACGATTGGTTGATTAAGTACAATGCCTGCACGCTATTGGTGAAACTACTTTTTAATTATAACTTTCGGCAAGTATGAAAACAATAGGAAAACAAAGCCAAAATCCGGACATTTTAGGCAACTTAGAAATCCTGGCCAGGATAAGTTCTGGACAAAGAGGATGTATGCTCACCCCGCTAGTGACTCCCCTACCCTTTATATAAACTTTAAATAGTCTGTAAACTAATCAACCCCGCTGTTTAACAACCAATCATAGGCCTTGGGTCAGTTTTTCTTGGCTAATAAGATTACGCCTACCAATACAGCTCCAAGTGCTATGACAGCTCCTCCAATCAGGAAAGGCTTTAAACTTTCTAAGGCTTCACAGCTACATCCTGCGGACTCCGCCGCCCCCTGTTGATTGGTTGCTCCATCTTCTGCTGGATTCTCGGGTTCTGCGGGTTCAGCAGAGACGGGGTCTGGCTTTGGCGGTGGCGGTGCCTCCTTCTTCTCTGCTTTAGAGGCAGACTTTGATGCTCCTTTGGCTTTTGCTTCCATGTGGGAGTGGGATCAAGGGGTCAAGGAGTCCTGCAGGTTTTCCTGAGCTTTCTTTTGGAAATAGAATTATAATGAAGAGGGAGAGTTTGAGGTCCTAAATTTCTCCATGTAGCCTACACAACTGTTCAAAATTTGGGGTCAGGTATGTTTTTGAAAGTCTTAACAAGGTTGCATTTATTTGATTAGAAATACAGTGAAAGCAGTAGAAATGTGAAATATTATTACAATTTAAAATAACTGTTTTCTGTTTTTAAATATTTTAATTTAATTAATTTAATTAATTTATACCTGTGATGCAAAGCTGAATTTTCAGCATCATTACTCCGGTCTCCAGTGTCACATGATCCTTCAGAAATCATTCTAATGTGCTGATCTGCTGCTCAAGAAACTTTTCTTATTATCAATGTTGAAAACAGTTGTGCTGTTTAATATTTTGTGCACCGTCCGTGATATATTTTTCCCAGGATTTTATTTATTAATAGAAGGTTCAAAAGAACAGCAGTTATTTGTAACATTATAAAGGCCGAATTTTGAAAAGGCTCATATCATTGTTAAATGATGAAAAAAAAAAAAAAGTACTGACCCCAAACTTTTGAATGGTAGTATATGTAAAAATGATATCCAGAATGTTAAAATAATAGAAAAAATGTAAAAAAATAAATAAAAATAAAAATAAATCACAAAAGCATATGCTGGTAAAATTCTAATAATTTCACATTTTCTCATATTTATTTCTTTATAGTTTTTTCTTGACAGCAGTGGACTGAACTAGCATTATATGAAAAAGAGCTGCTGAAGAGTCTTTAAAAATTCTCCTTTTGTATTCCACAGAAGAATGCACATGGGTTTGGAATGGAAAAAAAAATGTGAATATGTCACCCAAAACAGAATTATATCACATGAAACATTTGAGTATTTGACCTTGATATGGCAATGACATTAGTGTATATGCAGTGGCCTACTGACTGTCACATGCTGTATTTGTTTGTATTGTAGACAGCCAAAGGGCAGCATCCATTAGTTGTTGCTTCCTTAAAAAGCATGCATGCGTCTTTTGTGCGTAGAAGCTCTTTTTTACAGTGTGTGGGACAAAAGTGACAAGTAACTCTTAACAACAGTCATGTAGCTTACAGATGTGACCTTTTGCATCCACCAAACACAATGAACTATGGTTCTGAGGCATTAAACATGCATAGTTGATCTGCAGCATACAGAAATATCCCTGTTAATCTGCATGAGTCATACAGGGCCGGTGGAAGGGAGGGGAGCACTGTACATTAAAAATAATTAAAATCACAAAAAAGGACTGAAGCTATGCAGAACCATGCAGAGAATGTATAACCTGGGAAGATGGATTAAAAATATCATGTGATGGATGTGATTTCTGTAGTGATGCTGTTATGACGGCTGCACAGGCCACAGCAGCGCAACACATTCTCTTCCAGTTCTGATGGATATACGTCTGCTCAGAAAGATAATGATGGATGGAACATACCTTCTTTATGATGCCTTGTAACCCTTGCTCACCTCTTCCTCTTTTCAAAGAAGGGTGGAGAGACGGAGGATGAGAAACCAAGAGATACGCTCTGCAGGAAGGCCTGAATCCGTCCTCAAGGAGAAACAGAATCAAAGGAAATGGAGTGATGGAGGACACAGCAGCAGGAGGAGGAGGAGAGGTGCTGGGATGTACCACTCTATCAGTGAGAATAGGGGAGCGCAGTGCAGCTGGGGCGCGTGTGCTTTCGTTCGGCTTGA